GACCCACTGCCCGACTGAGGCTTGGGCCGCATCTGGCCGGAGCCCTCTGTTTGAGGCATCTGTCTGCAGGATGAACGTGAGGCAAAAGTTACGTGTGTTGAGCAGCAGCTCCCCACAGAGAGCCTTTTTCAACTGCACAAACGCACCGCTGAGCCAGATCTCGGACACAAACACAAACTGGCGATAGTACCCAGCCAGCCCCAGGAACCACCTCACCTCCTTTTTGGTCTTGGGGCACGGGCAGGATCCAGTGGTGGCTGTCTTCTCCGCCTGTGGATGCACCGGCCTGCCTCCCAAGTGGTACCCCAGATACTGTACCTCCCTCAGTCCAACTGTGCACTTCTTTGGGTTGGCCGTGAGCCCTGCCTGCCTCAGGGAAAGGTGCAGGTGGTGCCAGCACCTGGTCCATGAGGCACTGGACAGTGGCAGGGGCTGTGAACAAGCCAAATGGAAGAGAGAGAAATTGGTACAAAGCGTGCAGAGTGGAGAATGATTTTCCTTGGACTCTGCAGACAGGGGAATCTGCCAATAGCCCTTGGTTAAATCCAGTGTCGTAAAAAATTGAGTGGTGCCTAACCAGTCCAGGAGTTGATCAAGCCGGGGCGTGGGGTAGGCATCAAACCGTGACACCTGGTCCACCTTGTAGGTAGACGACACAGAACCATATAGACCCACCTTTCTTCATGACCAGAACTATGGGGCTACACCAAGCTCTGCGTGACTCTTCTATTACTCCTATTTTCAGCATCTCTGCCAATTCGTTCTGAACAATTTGCTGTTTATGTTCAGCTCAATTCATCTGTGTCTATCACCAGGCTCGTCGTAGAAGTGATTTCGCCATCCTCTAAGGAGGTGGAGGTGATATTCCCGTGTGGCTCTTCCCCTGCCGATGTTGGCTTCATAGTCATTATTGCCAACCCATAGTGTGCCCGAGAATGGATGTGTGTGCGTGTCTGTCGCCACTCATGTCAGCATCCTTTGCAGTGCTGGTGGCCGGCGGGCTGCTACTCCATGCTCCCTCTGCCCCCATGGCCAGGTGCTCCTCTGCAGTCTCCACTCTCATCGTGGTGTATCCCCCCCTCCACAGTCCTCCCCATCATCTGACTGGCCCAGAACTGCAGCTAATGATACTTCGAGGAGAGGCCCAAACGATCCAGCACAGCGCTGTGAAAGCTACCTCGGTACGTTGGTGGTAGGCTCAGAGACGCCGTGGGAGACCCTCCAGACAGCAGTGGAAGCAGCCACAGCGCCCAC